AAACTGTTTTGCGCACGTCGTCGCAATGAAAAACCAGACGACCACTTGCAAATTATATCACCCTTCGAAGCACAAACTCTGCCCGTGGCACTTTTGGGTGCGCTCATCGACGTACAAGTGGACCATGCAAGTGGTCCGCTCGTTCGCAAATCTTTTGACTTGAGCCCCTACAAAGTATTACGGATCTAGTTTTGCTGCGTATCCTATACATTGTTTTCCCTAAGTCACCCAAATTAGTAATTTTACTAACCATAAAATTTACGTAAATTTTTGGTTTTACTAAGGAAAATTTACGTAAAAATTTACGTAAATTTAATAGTAAATCCAATTTAGGTTATGAGTAAATCCAATTTAGGTTATTAGTAAATCCAATTTAGGTTATTAGTAAATTTTTTAGGTTATGAGTAAATTTTTGTGAGCATGATTTTGAAGCAGAAAATGTCTCTATTTATGTGAGTTGGCTTTCTCCGAAGAGGCAGGTTTTCTACAGGACAACATGTACTTGAGGATATTTGCGCTATGGATTTTTGTTTTTGTTGACTGAGCATGCCAGGAGGTGTGGACTTTGCCTTTACTTGAAGGGATTGCATTTACTTGAGCATGTGTACCCTTCTTGACTTGAACAAAACATTTTTACTTGAGGGTGTCTACTTGAGGGAGTAAATTTACTTGAGGATATGTACTTTTCTTCACTTTAGGAACAAGAGCATTCTCTGATTCTCTAATGGTTTTTGCCAGTGTGAGGGTGCATGTTTTATGTGAGAGATCTTTTGGCTCTGTGAGAAGAAGAAAAAGAAGAAGAACAAGAGACACCTCAGCAAGAAGGAAACAAGCAGTGAAAGGGCCAGGAAATTGCGCACAGCTGACAAGATTCTTGGACTGAACTTTAAACAAGTTTGTTTGTTGAAAATTAACTGTTAAAGTTTGTATTAACTGCAGCAAATGAACAAGAGTTATGTCAATGTTGGCTTGAAACCATTGTCAGGAGGCGTGACCGCATCAATGCCATGATGGACTTGATGAGGACGCTGCAAGATGACAGCAGTTCATCTCTGGAATCCTTGGAGTGAAAAAGACACAAGCAGCCTTTGGGGTAGAGTTGAGGGCACGCATTGTGACATGATGTTGAGAAGCTGTTACATGAAGAAGATCTGACTTTACTTGAGAAGCTTTTACATGAGGGTGTGACTTTACCTGTTGAGCTTTTACTTGAGGATGTGATTTCACTTGAGCATGGCACACTTTACTTGAGCATGGCAGACTTTGCTTGAGCATGGCACACTTTACTTGAGCATGGCAGACATTACTTGAGGATGGTTTTACTTGAGTGTATTTTACTTCAGTGGTTGAGACTTTGTGTAAGTATACTTTACATGAGGATGCCATTGAACTTGGAATTGTGCGCTTAGTCTTGTTTAGTTTTGTTGTGAGTTGAAGTGTATTTGATATGTATTTATGAAATTTAGTTCAAAAACTATAAATTTAAGAGAAAATATTGATGAATTCTTGATGAACTTTTGATGCACTTTTGATGCACTTCTGATGTACTTTTGATGTACTTTTCAAAAGTGTATACACTTTTGATCAAAAGTGTATACACTTTTGTTAAAAGTGTATACACTTTTGAAAAAAGTACATTAGAAGTGCATCAAAAGTGCATCAAAAAATCATACAATTTTTTGACAGGTTTTTTGAAAAGCTATGATATTCTGCATCATATTGTCAGCAAAAAGATATCTAGCATTCTTGTGGGTTTACCCTTTACCTGAGAATGTAAAGCTTTTGCACAAAGAGTTGATCAGCATTGTATGTTGTTCAATTTGAAGTTGGTTTATCCTTTACCTGAGAATGTAAAGCTTTTGCACAAAGAGTTGATCAGCATTGTTTGTTGTTCAAATTGAAGTTGGTTTATCCTTTACCTGAGAAGGTAATGCTTTTGCACAAAGAGTTGATCAGCATTGTATGTTGTTCAAATTGAAGTTGTTGAGAGTTTACTGCACAGCTGGCTTATTGGTTGTTGTTTACTTTTGCAGCTAGATTGATCTCAAAGAGCTTTGAAAGGTTTGAAGGATAGGTGCAGTAGCTTGTTGGCATTGGCATGGCAGAGGAAGAGATTCCCATGGGCCAAGTCACTCCTGAGGAGAAGGACGATGGATGGTGTAGTTGAAGAGCCCAGTACACCTGTGAAGCAAAGGCCAGCTGCCAAAGCAAAGACCCCAAAATCCAAGAGCCCAAAAGCAAAGAGCCCTAAAGGGAAGAAGCCCAAAGCAAAAGGAAAGAGCAAGCCAAAGCCAAAGCCAAAGGCATGCTCTGTGAAAAGGCCTGCTGCCAGTGGAGAAACTGTAGAGCCAAAGAAGAAGCCAGCAGCTCATGGCTGGGCAGCAGGGTTGCAGGAGGATCAGGAGGAGGAAGCACCAGAAGTTGAAGAGGATCAACCAAGAGAATGTGGAGGAGGAGGAGGAGGAGCAGGACAATGCAGACTTCTTCTAGTGCTAGTGCGATGAGGCCAAGAAGGACAGGTCGAAGGACAACAAGTTCAAGGCCTTGTTGTCTGAGGGCTCTCTGCCAGACTATGTTGCGCAGGCTTGGAAGAAGACCTTGAGCATGAAGAAGGGACGCACAGAAGAACAGCGCAAGATAGTGAACCAAGTCCTGGACAGGACAAAGGATGGAAAGCTCATGGTGCTTATACCCAAGTTATTTTTCTTGCGCTTGTTTTTCCTGTGTGCTTATACCTGAGTGTGTGTGTGTGCTTGTGGTTTTATCCAAATGTCTCTACTTGTGGCTATATGTTTTACAAATTACTTTCTTCAAAAGATGCGTTTTAGATTGAATATTTGCAAATCAAAAAGTAATGAAAAATAGGAAAAAACCCTTAGTGAAGACCAACCTAAATAAATTTAGGTTGTACCTAAATCAAATTTACATTTACTAACCCATTTACACTTTTTGCCACCTAAATTCATCAATTTACGTAAATCCAATAAACATGTAAATTTACTAATTTCGGTGACTTAGGGTTTGTCTCTTTAAAGCCGGCACACTCATCCAATAAAACTGATCAACCATGGTGATATGTTGGTCGCATTGCGCCGGCAAAAAAAATTAGGCTATCTACTATGTGTGGCCCGACAGTTGGCATACATACCATCTATTTTCTTGTCCTGGCTATATTCTGCCCTAGTCAATCGAACGTCTTTATCAAACATTGTTATATCGGACGGTGGGTTCAGAAACAAGTGATGTTCATAGTGATGGAACATCTTCTGAGATTCGATTTTGATGCTTACGTAGTTGGGAGCAAAATGGAGCAAACATTGCTATATAGGCAGGCAAATTGTCAACGCCTGATGGCACGTTGTACACATTCCACTCTGCTATATCGCGCGGTGCGCACGAAATCTATATGATGACAAACCTGCTTTGAAAAGTGCTTACAAAAACAAGCACTTTTTGAAGACCCTCGATCACCTGGCAGTTTGAAAAACAGTCTTGAAGAACAGCCCAAACCCATAGAAACGAACTTTGATACATGGCATGCGCAGCCAACACAATCGAATATCCAGTATTCCGACATACAACCACCAACACACAACAATTCCAAGCGGATGTATATACAGCTTGATGATTCTCAGGTTCCAATGTTGCTAGAAACGTTTTGCAATCACATCTTCAGCGCGCGTGGGTGTCACCACCATTTTCGCTTTGCAAGGGTTCACTCGATCGAATCTAACCTGAGCTGCGTTATGTGGTGGGTCTTTCTTTGCACATCAGGACGAGTAGCCAAAATAAGTGGCGCACGTTGAACAAGTTTTGGTGGATTGTAGCCTCCCAACTGACATATACGGTCACCAAAAGCAACATGTGTTGCCACAATTCCAAGACCCAAGCACATGTGCAGAAGAGCCGCTTCCCAACTTAATGGCCACTTGGCCTTCTGCGTATTTACGATAGAAATAATACTATGTCAGATGGGGTTTCCTGTTATGAGCAACAAATGTAAACAACGGTTTTCAGTTTTTAGATACATATCTAGAAATAGTTGTGTCTCGTTATCCCCGCCCTATGTGATACAAACATCAATGATAGCACTTCAGTTTGTAAATGTGAATATAAAGTTTTTTCGTTTGAAAGGGTGTCTCAAAGTAAGGGGTGTGCCAAGCTCTGGGGTTAGGTAGCAGAGTGCATCTAGCACTGGACATGTGGTGCATGGATACAAATTGTGGCCAAGTGTCGCCAAAGCGCAAGCTGAAAAACACTTGGTGCCAGAGTGCATCTAGCGCTGGACATGTGGTGCATGGATACAAATTGTGGCCAAGTGTCGCCAAAGCGCAAGCTGAAAAACACTTGGTGCCAGAGTGCATCTAGCACTGGACATGTGGTGCGTGGATACAATTGATACAATCAATGAGGACTCTGGCCAAGTGTCGCCAAATCAAAGCGCACGCTGAAAAATAAACTTTTGACACGTCGCGCTCAATGAAAAAATGTATTGCCACGTGCTCAATCTTAGCGTGCGCCAAGGCTGCTGTTTGTGAAAAGCGAGCATGTTCCAAAAGGCTTAGCTTACGTTCCACATGCACCCCTTGTTTTTGCTTGGTGCACCGCAAATCCCCCAGTTTTTGATTTTGTTCAGATTTCGTTGTTTGAAAGGCAGGCTGCAAAAACATTGTAAGACAATCACCTGTGTTACGCACACTTTGAAAGCCAAACTGTTCACAAAAGATGTTCGTTGTGAGGCCCTGATGTTTACGCCAGTGTCTGTGCAGCGCGTTCTTTCAATTCTAAGCTCATGCACTTGAACTTCAGCCTCTATCTCGAAGGTTTCGAAGTCTGCCACCATCGTCTCACGGCCCTCGCCTTTCTTTCCTGCAGATGAATCGCTTTTCTTCCCCTTGTGATAAGAGGAACCCTTTCCGCCACTTGGCTTCCGAGGGCACTCACGCTTCCAGTGTCCGCAGCCTTTTTGTTCACTTGGGACGCAGCCGACATTTGTGACCATGAAGAGACCAGCTGCGCGCCGACAGAGGACCCAGAAGGAGGTGCGGTCTTTAGTTAATTTTGAACGAGCCGCACGCTTGCCTTTCTGCAGGCGCGTGCAGTGAAGAAGACCGTCGCGAAGATGAATGTCGCTTCGGGCGAGGTTGCTAAGGGTGCGGAGTGGTCCTTGCTCACTGAGAGGGGCAAGGTTTTGCCGCGGTTTGCATCGTGCATGCCTTGGTCTCCGATTTTGGCGTCCTGGAAAGTTGGCCTGAAGAAAGCAGATCCGCTGAATCTGGTGGTCGCCCGGGCCTGAGCAGTTTGTTCACGGCAGTATGCCAATTGATCCAGTATGTTTGTTGCGTTGTTGTGTTGATCCAGGTTTGCAGGAAGTCTAAGATGACAAAGAAAAAGAATGGAGCAATGGTCTTCAGTGGCCGGAAAACTTTCAAGAGCTGGGGTTGCATCAGTGGCATCCTTGGAGTTTGGTAGCTTGAGATTGTATGGCAGGGTCCATTCACTTTCAACATGTTTTGTCAGTGTGGGACGCATGAACTACTGCAGGGTGCTTCAGTGGCACAATCCAAGCAGCCACAAAGACAGTGTCCACGCGGGCCGTGAGTGTCCAGCTCTCAGCTATGTCGCGACTGTTGATGTCATTGTCATTGGACTAGGGTCACACTCATGGTTTTCTTCGCATGACATTTGGGTTGCAAACGCGCGGCGTTCATGCAGCGCGGCGGTCCCAAGTTTCTTGGCGCCCAGGACTTGGCGAACCAAATTCGCTGGAGCAAGGACTACAAGGCGGAACTTACGCGACATGGCGTAAAGCCAGGGAAGTACCTTGCGCCAGAAGTCGGAGAATACTTTTCAGGCAGGTATCGTGTGGCCTGTTTTTTCCAAGGTTGACATCGCTCCAAACTCTATTGCATTTTCATGTGGCGTGTTCGGTGTAGGCTCTCAGCATTCTTCATTCATATGATAATATGTTCTTTCATTTTGCGATGAGCTGCTTCACTTGGCAGGTTTACCCTGCGGGTGGACCAAACCCCAACGCGGCAGTGTGGATATTGTGACGTTCAACCGCATGTTCCCCAAGGCAGCAATCAAGGCGGTGCCATGTCACGTTTTTGGTGAGAACGCACCTCAGTGACTCAGTAGGCTTGGAGCTATAAAGTTGAAACCGCAGCTGGAGGCAAACAAGAGCCCCATGGTGTCCCTTTTTAGCGGTGTTGGCGGGTTGGATCTCGCTCTCTCTCCGCCGCAAACTCAGATGTGCCCCTCAGTTTTGGTTGTTGAATACACCAGTGCATTGCACCGACGCACAGGATCCGCATGATTTTTGGTTGTCCTTTGGATCAAGTGAGTCAGGAAGTTACGCGTCAAATGATCAATCAGTAAATAGCTGAGAATGACAACCAACTTTGCTGCAAGTCGTGTGGTTACGAATGAACAGCCCTGGGGCAAAGCCGCGGGAGAGCCCTGCGGATTGTTGCCTTGGCGTGGTTCGCTGCGTGGGCATCAACCAAATCAGGCAGAGCTCCTGTCTACCACATTGTTCTGCGCTTTGTGTTGGGCTGGTTGTTGTTCCTTGTTTGTTGCAGGGTCCCTAGAGGAACACCCATTGCCACCAACTGGCACGGAGAACCGCCGTTGACTCAGCAAATCTAGTAGCAACTGGTTGTAAAACTCATTTCTGAATTGCTCGAGGGCGACAATTGTTGATAGTTTTACGTTCTTGTCAGATTGCCTACGCGCGCCTCAGGTGGACGTGGAGTTGGGAACGAAAGTGTTGGATGCTTCGTGTGAGGGAAGAACAATGCGATGCCAACGACAGGCGTGCCAACTTGGTCGTGGCTTGGATGTAATCGGCGAGGACAGCTTTAAACATTGAAAAGGAAAGGAATACCACTTATTGTTATATAATACTCATGTTACCGGAGAGAGCCAGTTAACAGCTCAGACTTGGCCATGAAAACACGGTGAGGTGAGCCCTGAGCAGATGCAGAAAAAGCAGCGATTGGAGAGGTAAAACGGCGCTCATAGGTTTGCGTTGAGTTTGCAAACTTCGCGATATTTTGGTGATTACCTTACCGCTTCTCGCTTCTCGACAAGGTTTATGTTCCCCGTGCACTTTGCAGCTAGCTCAGCAAGTAGTGTTGCTGTGGATTGCGCGCTTGATCGGTGGCAGCGTGGTCTGAGTCTGTGAGGTAGAGTGCAACAAGTTCTGCCAGCAGATTCTCAGTTTGAGAATGAAAGACGGGCTCTTGCACGATGCCCAAATTTCATCCGACGTGGCAGCTTTCAATGGCGTCAACACCTGCGCGCAAGGGTGTGGGGGTGGGTTCCCATGCCAGGTCAGTCACTCAGACTTGCCGTTTTTCTGTGGTTCAACTCGTTTTGTGTTCACATTGTGGGACGGTCCTTGTAACTATGTTTGCAGCGTTGCTGCCAAGGGAGTGTCATCGGCAGGGGCCCAGGGCGGATTGAGTGACAAACGCACTGGCCTTTTGCGATATGTTTTTCAATGCTTCGACCAACTGGAGTCACCGTTGCTCGGTGTAGGTAAACAATGCCAAAGCAGTGAAATTGAAGTTTGTGCTGTCTTTGTTTGGTGGTTGAAGACAGTTAACACAGTGGCCCCTTAGAGAAACGAGGCAGTACCTCTACTTAGAGAACGTGGTTGCTATCTTGCAGCAAAAGGACAACATGCGTGACATCATGAAGTACATTGTTGAGGACACGTGCCTCCTGGTTTTTTCACTTCAGCAGTTGTGGTCGGCGTTCCACACGTTGTGCGCATATTATACACGCCATTCGCAGGCCGCTTCAGAATTTAACCTTTCTTTCTGTCATAATTAGGAGTGTTCTCAGCGGGAGTTGGTATTGCACTGGGCGACGATATCTCTTGCCAATTGTGGATTGGCAGCAGGGACCCCAGTTCTTGGGCACACCGTTTACCAATTAGGTGAAATTGTCATTGCAAGGCATGCCGAGAGCGGGTTTTCTTTCTGGCGCACCGACCCAACTTCCACTTGTGGGAGGCAACCTTGTGGGAGTTTTCATTATGCTTCTGAACGAAACCTTTGGCAGTTACCACTTAAGACTGTGTGCGCCCTCTCTTGTCCTGGCCAGGGGATGGAGCTGAAGCCCTTGGCATCGTTCTTTCGGCCTCAGTGGAACATCTTGAGCCGAATCCCGATGCATCTTTGGCTGACCAACGAGATTGAAGAGGACTATAGGGATCGTATGAAGACTTTGGGCAACATAGTTGTCCCATTGCAGGGAGAACTGGGCATGAATGTGATAGCGCGACAGTGCCGGGAGTGTAGGACTTTAGGTCTCCTGAAGTCCTGAATACGCTTTCTTGCGACGTGCGAGCAAGCAATGCGAGTAGCGGTTTGCATTTTGCGCTCGACGGGCAATTCATTTGCGCGTGAGTTTTCCAGGACGCTGTCAGTTTGAATTGAAAGAAACCAAGAAAATTGATCTACAGCAAACCGACGGTTGAATGATACGGAGAGGGATCAAAAGAATAATACAAAGGTAAAGAGAGAGAACAATATAACATAATATATAGATATACATAAATCAAATGTGTCAATGTCAGAGGGATGGCCCCAGAAGCATCTTCAGCCATACTAGGGATTCCCCCCAACTCGCCACTTTGAAAGTAACGCATTGCCCTGACACGCTTAGCGTGTAATTTGAAACAACCTGTTCTACCTACGATAAACTAGTGGTCAGGCCTCTAGGGCGAAGGATGCAGAAAGGCCAAAGATTCAACATATTATTAAGATCCGTGAAGGTCACCCCGTTTTGGAAGCGCGGGCCCAAAGCCACGGAATCTTATAATTTAACACCCTGGGCCCTTAAAGCAGGTTTGAAAATAGCTAGATCCCAGAAGTTAGCGCGCCTTAGCGCAGAAGATAGCATTCCTTTGCTTGCGCCATTGTTTCTTCTCCAAAGCCGTGACAAAACGATCTGAAGGGGCATCGCCGCACATTATACTCCCGATGCGATTCCGCCCACCCTCTCTTGGACCACCGCCCTTAGCGTTTCGATCTATGTATTTTTCATTGGTCTTTCAAGATTTGCCGTGGCAGCGCCTGGGTTTTGCTCAGCAATTCGTGTGTATGGGCCCTATTTCTTGGGCGCGCGAAGACAAATTCGATAGATTCTGAAAATTTGAGGATGCGTATCACGTGGCAATGGCTGGTTCTTTCAGACCCGCCAAGCAGTAGCTTGACGCTGGGCATGCTCATGGATTCAGGCATCAACTGCCTGAAGGGCAGAACCGAATGTGCGTGGTAGTACCGGCAGTCTCAAGTCAAGGCATCATGGCCCTCCCAGAAGCAGATCGTAAATTATTTTATGTGTTTGGGCTGTAGCTTAGTTTTCAAATTCCATGTGTTCATGTGTATTGCGCTTTCATTGTATGGGGTGTAGCTTAGTTTTCAAATTCCATGTGTTCATGTGTATTGCGTTATCATTGTATGCGCCACGCAGTTTGATGATTTTTGCCAGCGTGGATGGCTTGAGCAGCGACGAGGCGCCTGTGCCCAAAGCAGGTGTTCTGAAGTCGGCAAGGGAACGGAAACCTCGGTCTTTCAGAATCAGGAAAAACAAGAGGAAGTGTGACTGCTGCAGCTCTGCGCAAAGATTGGCGGAGGATCCTGACTTGTTGTTGAAAAGATTGTCTAGAGCATGTGGCTGCCGCAGAACGACTTGCTGCAGTCAATTCACGTCCGGGACCAACCTTCTGCGGTACAAGGACTATTTGGCCCGCTGGTGCAGTCTGGCTAAGCTTGACCAAGACCAAATTGCGACTTGTCGGCCAGTGTTGATTCGACAAGACATGTTTGGACACGCGGCTAATCAATTGTTTGTTGAAGTCCAATGCAGCGTTCACCTTAGGCCTTTGACCTAATGAAGGAATTGCTCATCCGTTCTGGAGAGGATTTTTTGACTTGTTGGTCGGTGCTGGACTTGCACACATGCCGGCGCGGCTGGCAAACTCTGCATTGCATGGGCTCCTTAGTTAAAAAGCGATAACCTTTGATCTCATTTCTGGAGCCAGTGCACTAAATTAAAACAGAAACCGCTCCTAAAACAAGATCCAAGACCTAGCGATTGCCTGATTGCCTGGACCGGTCACGATCCGAGGAACCAAGAGGTTCAACAAGCTGTGGGTTGCTGCCAGGGACAACCATCCAGCTCCGCCAGTCGATTTGAGGTATTTGCAAAGACCGTTGGCCAACGTTGGATTTGCGCGAAATGCCCAAGTTCGGGGTGACATTTGCACCTTTCTAGAATACCTGTATGACAGTGTAGCTGAGACGCTCCCAGACTTTAGGGATGAGATGGGATCCTCATCGACAGTTCGCCTCACAGTGGAGGACCCATACGCAAAAGAGATGCAGAATCAGCAGAGCGTCGATGAGTCTTTGGAGGAGGTGGACTTGAGGCCAAGAACAAAGCCCCGCAAGCGCAAAGGCCAAGTTCAGATCAATATGAGCAGAACATCCGCCACAATGGAGGAGAGATTTCTTCCACCGTCCTCGATGAAGGAGTACTACGAGCAATACCGCTCACAGTCCGGGCTTGAAAAGCCAGGCAGCTTTGCAAGTTTTTGGAGAGCGACTTGGACTTGTCAGCCTGATGTTTTTAGTAATATCCCGGGTAAGGTAAGGGTTTTAAAGTCCAGCAGGAGTTTCTTTAATAGCAACTCTAAATTTTTCTGGTGTGGCTCAGCGAGTTCCGGTTCATGCAGATCCGGGCAAGCAGTCAGCACGCGCAATGCGCGACATGCGTGAGGCATCGCCACCTCGTCAGACTTCTTGGTCGACATTTGAATGCGAGAGCGCAGCAACAAAAGTACTACTGGGAACATTTAAGGGCTCAGTACAAAGATGGGCCCCCCCTAGTTAAAACACTTGTAACTTACTTGGTGAAGTTACAAATTACTTAAAACTAAGTTAGCCGGAGGGCTTCGTAAGTAAGATGTAACTTAAATGTAACTATTTTTAAGTTCTATAAGTTCTAATTGGTGATTTCTGATGTTCAAAAACTATGTTTTTCAGGTTTCCCAGTAGCAAGGCCCAAACCGAAGGACATCGAAAAACTATGCTTTTTACCTGGGAAAACGCTGCTGTTGCAAGGGTTTTTAATGTAGAACACTCACCGCGCCGCTTTGCTGAAGAAAAGCAAAAAGCAAAACAAAAAAACAAAAAATGCGCTTCGAATTTCGGTGGACCACCACCGTGCTAAAAGAAAAACACTTTCTACTTTAAACCATCAAAACGCATAAGAAAAACAGAACACACACAATGACCTACATCTGTGTGTTAGGAACACGCTGGGCGGTGGTCCGTCCAAAAAATTGAAGGCGATGGTCCGTCCAAAAAATTGAAGGCGGTGGTCCGTCCAAAAAAGTTGATGGCGGTGGTCCGTCCAAAAATTTTGATCGCGGTGGTCCGTCCAAAAAGTTGTGGCCGGTGCCCAAAAAACGCGGTGCACCCTGATGAACAAGAGGCTATATGTACAGCAGATGTACGGTAATGTACGGTAGATGTACGGTAGATGTACGGGAATGTACGGTAGATGTACGGGAATGTACGGTAATGTACGGTAGATGTACGGTAGATGTACGGCACATTACCGTACATCTACCGTACATTACCGTACACCTACTGTACATATAGCCTCTTGTTCATCAGGTTACATCAGATCTTTTGAGGGACTGTGTGTGTGTGCGTCTTGTGATGCGTCACGGACAGGCAAGGATCTACTCCTCAATTTTGGGGCGTGATCCAGCTTAATGGCTTCTAGTTGTTCCATGGCCTACATAATGGATTCGTTACACTATATTCTACTACGTGTGCGTGTTGCATGTTTACGTGTTTCTGTGTGCAAAGTACTACTCTGTCGTACGGGTGGACCACCACCCCACAAATTTTTCACGACGAAAACATAAAAAAAAACAATCGCGCCCATAAAAACAGAAAAAATGTTTCCAAAACAACACAAAATACAAAGATTTGCTAATCAGTCTCAGTTCTACACAAAAAAGAAGAGTACACACAAAAACATTAAAAAACGCTTCTCTGCAAACCCGTCCACAAAAAACATAGTTTTTTCAATGCAAAAACCTAAGTTCCCTAAGTAAGTTGTAAGTGATTTAGCACTAATTTAGCACCCTCCAACATAAACTAGGATAACTTACTTATATATATCGAAAGTAATTTGTAACTGCAACGTAAATACCACCAAGAACTTAGAACACTTCACAATCTTAGACCAGCTTACAACATCAGTTAACCCATGTTATAACATATGTTACGGCACTTTACAAGTTCTCCAACTAGGGGGGCCCATCTTTGTACCTGGATCGGCTGCAGTACTATAGGTACCGATCGTTGAGCCGGCAGGGCGATGGCCGTTTCATTTGTATCATACAAGATGGCCTTGACCAAGGGAAGGTCAGCCTTCCACGAAGCTCGTGGATGCACAGCAAAGAGTTTTCGCAGCTCAAGGTACATCGCCCAAAGTTGCACTTGACGCTTACTCTGGTACACGGATACTTTTTGCTGTTCACGATCTCGTTGCCTCACACCATGAAGGATTCGAACGCGAGCCTTGAGACAATTTGCCACGCATTACACTTGTTGGAGACGAGGCACAAGGTCCATCTGCCTGGATGCTCTTTGAGCATCCAGGCAGATAACACCTGCCGCGAACTGAAGAACAATCCGGTTTTCCGATGGGCAGCTTTACAGACCTCGGCCGGAAACCTCAGAAGTGCGAGTGTCCGCTTCTTAAGAAGCGGACACTCGCACGAGGATGTGGACCAAATCTTCGGGAGGTTGTCGCGACACTATGCTAAGCTAAAAAAGCAGAGACACCGCTCGACTTTGAAGAGTCCACCAGGAAGTTTGCAGTGGACATGCATCGTCCCCATGAACCAGGCAGATATGTAGTTACCATGGCAGAAACAAGGGATTGGAGCTTGATCCTCTACCAACATGTTTTTCTATTTCGGGGCGGTGATTCTGAATCGATCGAGTTTTCAATTTTACTGATGGCGCTTACCTTGAGTTGACAAATCCACATTTCAGGAAGGGCTTTCATAGCGGCGCCGCGCCCTTTCATTTGACCGGCATTGGCGGTCCAGGAGCACCGCACGAATTCACATTCAACCGCCGCGGAGATGAGGATCTTCATGGCTTCGAGATTGAAAACAGCAAGTGGGGCTATGCAGCTCACCCTCAAGATGTCATTCTGAGGCTTGGGCTCTCGGGCCCCCCCTGAAATTGTGTCTTCCAAGTCCAAGATGATTTGCAATTTTCCATAACTTGGGAGTTTTGTTTCAATTTTTAAATTCAACAAATGGCGCTGTTGTATCAAAAAAAAGGTTCCCAGGGCCACTTGTGAAAATTTTTTGTCGGGTCAGGACAAAGCGATGGATGGCAAGCGCGAGCTACAGCAGGTGCTTCGTTCTGTATCCACGGTTGCTAGCCCTGGAGCGAGCCCCACTGGGATTGCCTGCAGGACCGGACCAACCAAGATTTAATGTTTTGCGTTTGTTCTTCCAAGTCCTTCCTAAATATCTCATCCTGCCTTGTCCAGCTACCCTGCAGTCATTGCGCCCACTCGAGCCATTGGTGCTGAGATGAAAGGGCATATCTTGAATTGTTTGGCCTTGCTCCGGGACCCAATGCATGATTTGGGTAGAGCCGCTGATTGGCTTGAAGTTTGGGTGAACAGTGATCTTGCTCCAGCTCCATTGCTTGAGGTGTCGTCGCCCCTCGTCCACATGTTTTTTTTTGCGTGGAAAGGAAACATAGTGACCAACTAAATGGCTTTGACAACAAAAAAGGAAAGGTGCCCTCCGATTCCTTAACGTACTTGTCGAGGTGAAACCTTTTCCCGCCAAGAGAGCTGCTGGCCGACTCTCCCCGGCGTTGTAAATTTCCTCTCGGTCTGGCCTTTCCAAACGGACCCCCCCAAGTCTCAAAAGGTCGAGCATTTGTCCAAGTTTAGGGCCTCCTTCCTGGCACTTGGTGGGGGCTGGCAGCTTGAGGTGACGCAAAATTAGCACGCCCCCGGTTTTAGTCTTGCGCCCCCACAATTTTTCTTGGTTTGGTGCGTTGCCTTGCTTCAGGGTGATGGTCCACGCTGGCCCCTTCTTCGCGCATGGTCACATAGACGCTGCCAGGGCGGACCCTCTCACTGTCCAGGAGAATCCGATCCAGTGATGACGATTTGCTCAGCAAGTTTTCTGTTAATGCTCTCTTTCTTTTTGGTGATCAAAAATCTAAGCAGTCGCCAGCGCCTTATTGACCCTGTCTCCACTTAATGGTCTAAGGCTGAAACAGGCCGGGATGAAGCAGGATGTCCAATTTTATGTCAAGAGTGCTCGCAAAGCGATCATCATAGATACGGCTGCACAAGCTTGGGCCCGTGGTGTGCCTTGGGAGGAAGCTTTGCGCATCTCGGAACAGGCAATGTCAGCAGCAGGGACTGGGCGAGGCAAAGGGAAAGGGCGAGGCAAAGGTGTTGGCAAAGCCAAGGCCAAAGCTGCCGCCGTGAAGGCAAAAGCTAAGGCAAAGGCGGGAGCGCGCTGACGCCCCGCATTGCTCACTCTTCAAACTCTTGCGACTGCGATTTGCTGAAAAAGTTGAGTCGATCAGTCTGCGCGACAAATTTCCGAAAAGTCGCGACCCTAAACCCTAAACGGTACGGGATTTCGGGTGCGGCAGCGTAACCTTAGGGGTCTGAGAAGAAATTGGACTCTTTGGTTGACGAGAATCGGTCTCTCACCATTATGGTTTGACAAGGCACTTGTTAGGGACTGATCCCAGGTAGCATTGGTCTCTAATAGCAGGGTTTGAGGTGGGATAGAGTGGTGCAGCCACATTCAATGACTGGTCATTCGCTAGGCGCGATATGCAGTTTGAGACTGATCCTACCTAGGATCGGTCTCTTTCGGGCCTCTTGTGGGGAGACCTGTTTTGGGACGAATTTCAAAGAATACGCGAGACGGCGGTGCTCTTGGGGTCCAAAAGTGACGGATTTGTTTTGTTCAAAAGAGACGGATGCTACCTAGGATCGGTCTCTTTTGGCGGTTTGGTTGACCGTGCCCAAAAGTGACGGATCCTGAAGCTCCCAAAGAGACGGATTTTCCCAATCTCAAAGTTCCAAAGAGACTGATTGTAGGTAGGATCCGTCTCTTTCATGTCCGCTAAATCCGTCTCTTTCCTTTCCGCTAAATCCGTCTCTTTCCTTTCCACTGTGAACCGTCTCTGTTCTTATTTTCGATATTCTGCACCCTACAGATTGTTCAGATTTATTTTGTTCTCAGTCTTGCAGCTGATGAACGGGTTGCCATTTACCAAGCCAAGCTCCATCCAATCTTGGCGACAGGGTTGGGCATGCCTGCTAAACGGAAGTCCAATGGTGGGAAAGAGCCAAAGGCCAAATTGGGCAAAGTGAGCGCGCTGACTCATGACGACATGCCACATGTTGCCCAAGTAACTCAATGGTTTCTCGGTTGTTCTTGATGTGACTTTCAAGTTTCTTCTTGTTGGACGGTTTGCACGTGCCCTCTTGCTTTGAAGTGCAAATTAGGTTGACCAGCAAAGTCTTCCCAATGGGTGGGCCCGACAAGTACCTCTCCCATGTCTACAACGATCCGGTTTCTTGCTTTCATTTGCTTAGAGTGTTTAGTTGCTTGCTGCGGCTTGCTGTCCCACCGTTTTTCTTGCCCTCATTGACAAGGCAAAGATGCTCGATTTTGCAGACTGGATTGACCAGTGTGCGCCGCCGGACCCAAGGCCTGGCAAAAGCGGAAGCTTGTAGTTTGGTATCTCATCCATCTTCTTGATTCACGCAAGTGTGGAATTGTTGTGCGTTCAGGCACAGCTATGCAACAAAGCCAGAAGGGGCCCAGGTCTTGCGACCGTGGATGTTAGGCTGGCGTGCAGACTTTGGGTGTTCAGGATACCATGAACCAGAGCAGGCCTGTATGCTTGCAGAGCTCATGTTACTGGAAGGGACACTCGCCCATACATGTTTGGTGTGCTCATTAATATGTCGTTTTTACCGGATGGGAAGGGGTGCCAGGGTTGCCTGTCCGCGTATTGCTTGTTTCTCAGGATGCTGACAGATCCCAACCTCCCCGGTGTTGAGAAGATTTCCACCGCATCCATCCCGAAAGAGTTCTTGGATGGTGACTACTCCGAGCTTCCGTCGACCATAGGAGGCAGAGCAAATTTTCAAGCAATGCCGTTTAATGTAATGTTGTAATCAGAACCTGAGCCTGCAAGTCAAACTCCTTAGTCAGCCAGGTGGCGCCCTGCTGCCCCCTTTTTCAACCGGCTATTGCAAGGGCTGGAAGAGGGCCACCGTGGCGCTGATCGTTCTCCAAGCAATACGGGAACTGGATCTGAAAGATGTAGTCTCCCACCACATCAAGGCAACTTTGTGTTTGTTTAAATCAATTCCTGGGGGTAAACAGTTGGAACGAGCGCTGCGCTTATTATGTGCTTGCTCTCCTATGGGAGGCTTCGTTCGGCACAGTCCACGTTTCATGGGTCGAGTACAAGGATGTTCGCGCCACTGTCAACGCGAACAGAGGCGCGGTGCAGGCCGAAAGAAGTCTATTGGTTTTGTGGTTCTGGACTTAAGACTTCCATTGGTGTGGTTCATTGTGTAGTGTGGCATTGGGATCGGTGGTTTTCGTGGCAGCAGTAATGGAAATTGGCAGTGTGGCTGTAGCAGTAGAAAGTAACGTTTCGGAAGTTGACTCCAATGAAGAAACTTTTGAGGCCCCTCAACCTGTCTTGGGACGCTGGAGATTGCCAGGAGTGGGGCTGGTCCAGAATGCAACCCGGGCAAAGCCTAACGCTTTTCATTTCAAGAGGCAAGTCACCATCCTGCAGCGGGCCGGTGGCGGCACGGCTGAGCGGCAGTTCAAGGCAGCTTCGTTCTCACTTCATTCGCTAGAAGATAGCGCGATATTCGACAACTTTCCCCAAACCTTAACACAAATTACTTCGAGCGAATTATATATATTGTATATTGATATATGTTCTGGGGTCCGAAAGGTTCAGTACTGACTAACTTGCTTGCAGGAATGGTCGCAAGCCACTGGAATAGCGCGCGCTTTTGGGATAGGCAAGGGCGAAGCTGAAGCTGTTTCAGCGCTGATGACAGCGATTCCTCCAAGCGTTGTCGAGATCTTGGAGGATGCGGTGAGGAAGCGCGGAATGCTGCGCTTTATCACGCACGAGGTGTTGTCCAAGGGCACCTTTTCTTCATCCTGGTCGTCAGGTATTGGACCTTGTGAGTCATGGAAAGATGAGTTGCGCAACAGGGACGACCACGTTCTCGTGCTTTGATTTGCACTGAACTGCGGGCGTAGTCGATTTTTCGTTCTGACCACATGGGAGTGATTGGTAGGATACAGGAAAGAGTTATGTAAATTTGGTAAAATTTTGCATCGGTCGATTTTTGAAGTCTTAGTGTAGAACCTCCCCATCCACGGAGGTTTCCACAAGGCTTTGCTGCCTTTTCAATAGATGTGTGAGTTCGAACATTGGGACGCAGTCAAAATAGGATTTTCCTGGCAGCAGCGCTTCCACACTTGCCTACCTGCTCAGGCCACCCTGGTTGTGAACAGGCTGATCCGCGATCACGACAACACTGCGCCGCAGCTGAGGAAGGCATTTTCTTTCAAAGATGCACTTGCCGTGCATCAAGCTGGGGGCGCCTTCCTTCATTTTCTCAGCGTCCTTCAGAAAATGGCACCGGCCGCCTTGTACACGCAAGCGGAAGTGTCCTTGCGTGACCAGTTCTCTCAAGGCTTCATGGACGCAGATTTGCTGCATGTGATCACGACCGGAGTACCGCCTGGCGATATAAAATCGGTGGGAAGTTTCAGGCTGGACTGAGGGTGAAATTGCTTGGATTTGTTCTGGGCGACATGTCCATTGGTTGTTTGGGACTGACTTTGCTTAGCGTGTCGTGTGATGCAGCGTCCACCATCATAGACCCCTCATCAAACATTCACACTTTCACGTGTTGCCAGGCCTTTCGTTGCGAAGATCGAGACAGCAGTCCAGGATGCGGAGGATGAGAAAGCCGCCGAGCTTCAGCGAAAACTCCGCCAGGCTGACCTGGATCACCTTGTGGCGCAGATCAACAAGGATGTGGAGGCACTTGAGAAGCACCTCATCCCCAGCGACCGGATGGCTGAGGAACACGCACTTGACATGAAGTATCTTCGCGAGAGGCAACAGCCCTTCGGTTGCGATCTGTGGGAGATTTGAACTTTTTTTCAGAAGTTTTTGGTGCCTGATCGCTCCGCCGCAATTTGTTTGGTTTTGTTTTCCCCTTGGGACACCAAGGCAAGGGGTTCAATACGTGGAAAAGTGGCTGGGGAAGCATTGCACCTTGAGAAAGGTGTCTGACACCATGGACGCTGCCATCCCAGACTTTTTGAAATGGAAGGAGCAATTTCGATCTGCAGGGGAGCAGTAGCTTGGCGCAAGGGCATTTGTATCTATTTATTTGTATTCCTTTTGTTTATCGCGCTCGGGGTTGCCAATTATTCGAGCCTACTGTAGCGCCCAAGGTACATTATACTCACTTTGGATTGCACGGTGTTTCCCGCCAACTCGACATACTTGGCAGCATCTTTGAAGACCTTTGCAACTTTGCTGTCGATGAGCAGTACCATGATTGGACTGGTGCTTTACCCGGTCTACCAAACGCAAACATCCGAAGCTGCTTTGGTCAAGCACAAGCAGCAGCTGGACAATGCTTTGCTGAAGGGAGGATTGTCAGTGATCCACATGATCCAAGTCCTGTACGAGAAACCGGACTCTACCGCGAAGGATAGCCGGGGCTTGTATCAACCTGCACTGGCAAGCTTCCACGGACACTTCTCGAACCACAGTTTTCAGCAGTGCTTGCCAGTGCGTGAAGGGAAACTGGGACCAGCGCCTTTGATAAAGGTTGGGGACTTCATTGGATATGACAGTGACTCCCAACCCGGCGCAAGCGCTCGTGTGGAGCAGCGCCTTCTTGTTTGATTTGTCGATTTTTGAGGTTATTATGTGCTTCAGAATTTTGAATATGGCAAAGCCTATAAACCCAAACACTGATTTTTCTTTCCGACCGAAGTGTTTCATCCACTGAGGAAAGGCATCCCATGCCATGAAACGATCGTGGAGGCATTGCTTGCTGGAATGACCCTGAACCCTGTCGACGTGGTCATGCTGGTTGATTGTTTGCCGAACAGGCAGGGCAACTCCAAAAAGTTAAACAGGTTGGTCATGAAAATAGTGATATCGCCCTTTTCCTCTTCGGCGGACTCTCTGATTCTCTGGCCCATGGCAGGTTTTGCGAGATGGGGCGAGCTATGGCTGCTCGAAACCTGAAAGAGAACGCCCGCGCTGTCCACTACTTTGGCTATGTCCTGAATGAGTTCGACAAGAATTTAGCTGACATTAGGTCAAAAGTGTACGACTCTTGGGACACTTCGCCCACAAGCCCGCCAAAAACCCGAGTCGCCAGGGAGGAGGCAAGAAGCCCGCCTTCTCTCAATTTGCTTGCTTGGTCGAATGGCGCGCCCTTGTTTCCAGCTGCTTTGCTGTCCAGGTTTCAGGAGGGAACTTCTGAGCACTTGAAAATGGAGGAGCTTAAGGAGAGCTTTGTGAGAAAGTTCCCGCCGGCGGCGGCGCCGAGCCCATCCACCAGCGGCCGCGGCGGCAGGGCCAGGGCTGGTGGGCTTTGTGATTTTAGCATTGATGGCGATCAGCAGCCCTTGGACCCATCCCGTTTGATTGACCTTCCGCAAATTCCTGCTGACAGCTTCACAGTGGCCAGGCCTGCCGCTATTGGGGTCTAAACTTGCACGTCGTTCGTGCTTGAACCTTCATTTTAAATTAGAGGGTCGTCGTTGAGCGCACCATTTCTTTGTAGTATGTTTAGGTGCTGGTTGCTTCTGGACAAATTAAACTTGTTTCCAGAAACAGGAAGGCTGAATGCGGCGCAGCGGGGAAGAAACCGTCCATCGCCATTGACGAGACTTTTGGGATATGGCTTGGCAATTTGACGGACGCTGACATCACAGTGCAGGCTGGCGAACTTTTTGGTTTTGGCAGAGGGTCCTACGAGCAAAAGGAAGTACGTGCCTTCCTCCTTTGAACAAAACCTTTGGGTGCTTACTTGATTTGCGCAGGTCATTCCTACATTCGATTTCATTGTTGTTTGTTGATGCTCGCTCCAGTGCATTCACGAGAGACAAGGCCTTGTGTGACATGTTGGGACCAAGGTGACATCAAGGACATCATCCATGGTGTACCTTGGCGCCTTCGCAATGACTTGTCCCTCATCGCGTTCGAGAAGGAGCTCATGCCAATGTGCCAGTTGCTCAGGAAGCTGGCGGTTGACAATGGCTTGAGTGAAGTTCAACTCCCGGACCATATTTTGACACCACGAATGGCGGAGGCAGCTTCAGCCAACATGTCGAAGTGACTGCAGGTTAACTTTGTGGGCTGATCCTTTGTGTTGACTTAGATGGCAATGGTAGAGAATTTGAGATCCCCCTTTTTCGACGCGTCAGCGACCGAATGAACAGACGCATGAGGTGTGTTCCACTAAATGAAACTTGCCGGGTTGACAGATTCTTGCGCAGGGTGGCACGGTGCCTGTGTGCTTCCGCTACGAGATCAAGCCCGTCGCTTCTATGACCACCAACGTGTTCAAGCCTGTTCGAGAGGACAGGGAGGACCCCGACTGGCGCCATTCCACCTTGGGAGGGTACTTCGTGGGTCATATGGAGAAATTGGTTGACAACAAGCGAGCCTCAGTGGTTTGGGAGGCCATGTCTTGATCAGTTGACAATTTTATCTTAGTTCGATTCAAACATTCATTGAATTGTTGGGTTGGCAGCCCGGGTCATCATTTTCGGTGTGCTGCAGGTGGACATTCAGACTTCGCCCGCCATGATCAAGGCTTTAAAGCCAAAGGTATATTTGACCTGCAGCCTTCGACTTCCCTCCCAGACCTGGTGCAATTTGTGCCAGTAGGTTGTGTGTCCGTTTGTCAGAGGTAAACATGCAAGAAATGCTGCGCAGACTCTGACACGGCGAAGTTCAGAGATTGGGCTCGCTGGCTTCGACATTTTTACATTTTAAGCCCCCGAGGCTACCCATTTCTGCGAGTGCTCCTTAGAGGACATGCGACAAATATTTCCGGTGTTTATGTTTCCTGGGGCAGCCTCACGTTTTCCAGCAAATGATCAGGAGCTGGCAGTTCAATTCCCTTTGAGAAGTCACAAAATTGTGTAATAGCTGCTGAATCTGAAGCTTGTTGGGGTTCTTTGTGTAGAAGTTTCTATCTTAGGTGAAGTTAAATTATGAATGAGCCGGCAAATATGTCTATGCCTCGGTGTGAAGTAGTTGCACCTCGCTGTCACCAGCCTCGTTTCATTGTTCAAGTTCTCATTGCGCTTCATTCAGTGAGTTGGTCCCCGGCCGAATCACCATGCCAATCTTTGCGCCAGTCGACAATTTGAGTGATGAGGAGGCGTGGAAAAATCCCACGCGGAGCTTTGCGTGTGTTTTTAAGCGGACGGTTTGTTGAGGGTGGATGCTTTGCGTGTTGTGTGTGGCCACATCACCCTGAGTAGGAGCAGCCGGCGCCACGAAAACCAGCTTTGAGGAAGCCGGCAGGTGAGGGTCAGTGTGCTCCCAAGTTGAAGGCCAAGGCAAAGAAGAAACCCGAGGAGAAGGCCAGACCTGAAGAATCCGAACCTGCGCCTGCTTTGAAGCGCCCAGCAGCTGATTCGAAATTGAACAGTGACTCGGCTTGGTTTGTCGCCAAAAAAGCGAACACGCTCCGAGGGTTTTATATGTAAACCATGGCTGATTTTGAGTTTCGGACCGTGAGCCATTCTTGACCCAAGGTGCGAAGGCTGCAAAGGTCGACGCAGACCTACTAACTTCACTCCGGGCAAGGTTTTGGCCCCGCTCATGCTGGCAGAATCGGAGGAGATAGGAATTGGTTCGAATCAGCGCCCTCCACACTCTGTCCCAGCCACACACCTCTGTCATGTTCAAAACAATCAAAACCTATCAAAAAGAACAAAAATGGATCAAAATCAATGAAAAACATGAAAAA